GAAGAAGAGGGTGATGAGGAAATTAACATTTTTGTTTTTGATATATGTGATATGGGTATATAGTTTATCTAATTTCATTTAGTTTCTGTTGTAATGGAATGTCCCACTCTCCCTATTGCCTAGTGTGGACTGACCATACCAGTAGATATATATAATGTGCACAGGATATACCTGGCAGACTTGCTTTGGCAATTAGTTGGAGATTTGTCTCCAGCTGTGCTGGTTGAACTCTCTGTCTTCAGGCAGAGAGGAACCCAGAAGAACCTATGCCAATGGGTAGAGTCTCATCTAGGGTGGCAGACAGCTACCCAACCCCATTTATTACAGGGTCTATGGGGAATTTTTGCCCAAGCCCACAGGCTCAGTTTTGACCCCACATTAAAAATGGCCGTGTGCCACATCCTGCCATGTGAGTGTGGGGAGGCTAAGGTAAATATCCTTGCTTTAGGAATTACGAGCTTGCTAACTGATTCCCTGTCTTTCAGTAGTGTATTCTCTTTTACAATAAACCTATCTCTTTCTTTCATCTACGCCTGTATTGCTGTTCCTTCCACTTGAGTACCACCTTTGTTTGTAACTGTTATAAAATAAAACATATCTCAGCTGATTTACAGGCAAATACTCAAGAGCGAGAACCGGATGTAAATGGGACAAAGCCCCGTCACAAAATGACCATTATCTTTCTTCACAAATGTTCCCGACACACGTGTTCTGGTCGAAAAATAAAATATTTAAAGTGCTCTATTTTTCGTCCAATAAAAATGCTTCCCTCCTAATTATACTTGCTTCGTTTTTCGAGCCTGTTAAGCAATAAAAAAACACTATAAAAGGGCTCACACGGAAGTTCAACACGCAGTCAACAGGTAGCCACAAACAGACCTGTCACAGTCAGGCTAAGCGATCAGCAGCAGGGGAGCATGTGTGAACTACTATGAGAGATCGACCTAGATCTGAAAGCCGGTTTATGAACTTTACCACAAGGTAGCTGTCCCAAACCCTCAAGTTCCTGTTGAAATAAACCACGTAAATCTATTTCTACTGTTGTCGTATTTCTTTCTTGCAACCATGCTTGTCTATAACATAACCTTCTTTATATTTATTTGAAATTTATGCCTAATGACAACATTTCCTACCTTTATTTATGAATTTCAGCAAGGATCCTAAAAATAAAGGTTGAAATAAATTGTTAGTATTTGTTTATGCATGCTGCATTTTGTTTATAACAATAAAGATATAAACTATGCTTATGATGTCAGTAGGACATAGAATATGTCAACTACATCCCCACCCACCCGAAAAAAAAGAGAGAGACACCGTAAACAAACTGCTCTCTTTTTTTCCTTCTCTCTGATCATATTCTTTTATTCTCTCTACTACCACTCCCTCCTTCCGATTTGTCTTCATCTTATTTTTCTCCACTTTTTATTTCCTGCAGTCTTTCTTTTCTTTTCCATATTTACATTTATCCCCCCACCCTCTTTATTTTTCTTTGGCCTCTTCTTTTCCCCTACCCATTTCCTTCCTTTTCATCTGTCATTTTTCCTATACTCTTTTTATTTCCCCCCACCTCTTCTATCTCCTGTTCTATCATCCCTCTCTTCTTTTCCACATTCTCTTTCTTCCTCTTCAACATCTCCTTTCATTTCTGTATCAGTCATCCTCCAAAAAGAACATGCTAAATTTGGAGGCTTGACATGAAACAGTTTGTCTGTGTATTGTGAATAAACTCTTCCCAAATATATAGCGGCTCCCATTGCTTCCAAGACAATGCAAATACTGTTAGGTTAGTATGACAGGAATAAACTATTTACAACTGGTAAAGCTTCCCCTGGTAGTTAAAAAACTATTTATTTACTCCACCTCAAAGGGAGAAATGACTCGCTGACAATCCCTACAACCAATGTTTTGTTGGCAGCAATATTCAATTGATCCCCCTTCTTTGTTGCATTGAAGGAGGTGCTGCGGCAAGGTTGTAATCACCAGAACTAGGCCTCTCTGATATATTTACTTGTTCTCTATCTGAAAACAAAAACACAATTGAGAGATAAAAAGTAGTTTGTTTGCCCAAAGGTAGTTAAACTAAGATTGACAATAAATTGTCTAATGTTTATATTGAACCAAATTGTTGAGTTCATTTTGATAAGCATGTTTGAAACGCCTCCTCATACTGCTTATTGGAATCAACTGAGTTGGAGGAAGAGAACAGTTAATTACAGCCCAAGGTTCAAATCACAGCTAAGGCAGTTTGTATTCATTATAAGAAATACTGAAGCTAAAATAAAGAACAGCCAGATAAGGTGGTAATAGTAATCCAGATGTGTCACAGTTTGTCAGCTAAGAGTGTGAGTGAGTCTGTCTGTCAAAGACAAAACAGTCATCAGCGTAACCATGCCAACAGGCCATTAATCAACTATGAGGTATTCCTGGATAACAATCATCTGAAAAGTTCTGAAAAGTCTGTGAAAGTTGATATGGCATAACAAGGCCCCTGAAGGTGCACCAGACAAACCCTGGAGGTGCATCAGGCCTGATGAAGGCCACTAAGAAACATCACAAACAGATCTTGTTTGCTATACCTATGGAAATGTATGTCGATGGCTGATTGTGTTTAGTGGCATATCAGCCTCTATGCTTTATTTAATGCCAAAATCTAAATATTTTGAACAGAATCTTATGACTTCAACTAAATATATTTTGAACATAATTGTATATCTTCAACTACAGATAAAATATATTACTGATAATTTTGCTTTAAAAATGTATTGTTCATCCTTTTTTATATAAAAATTTATTGCTGGTATTTTTACTATAATAATGCATTTTTATACTTTCATGGGTGTTTCCTATTTACCCATAGGTGCCTCAGGTCAGGTTGGACCTGGGAAAAACAGCAATTAAGAGATGGTCCTATGCTCCTCAAAACCTACAATCTCCTGTTCAGAAGCCTTGCTGTTGTTTACTGTCATACCAAGGACTTGGAAATGTATGCAATTTTCTGGGTTTAAAAGATCATTGCCAATCTCATAACTGACAATAATAAATTATGTTAAAAAGTCAGCAATGGTCATGTTCAATTAATAAATATACAGCCATCATCTGTGAAATTTTGAAGTTGTTTAAAAAAGTAGGTTGACTGAACCTTTAATAATTTATTGACTATTGTTGCTTTAGTCATATACTGACCACTTTCTTCACAAACATTTTGCTTGCTTTGAAATAGGTGTGTCTGATTTGTCTTCTGGCAAGAGTGGATGATTATAAAAAGATTTGTTCATGAAAGTCTGGAGTTGGTGTACTGAATATAACACCAATCAGTGACAAGTTTGTATTAATCCTCTCTCTCTTTTTATGTGTGTATATATATATATATATATATATAAAAATAGGATGCAAAAGTATCATGGGTTTTAAAATTTAAGGCACCTTTTGACTGACACTTCTTCAGAAGCATATAATCATTGGCAAAATAAAACAAAGCGGTTGACAAGAAAAATTATTATCAACAACTGATATTAAGATGTAAATTACCAAAACAGGGGGTGGTGGAGAGAAACAAAAAAACAAAACAAACTCCGTTTAAACATCCTGGAGTCTGTTATTAATATGCAACATCCTGCTTTGTGCAGACAAAGGGAGTTAAAATCTAAGTTGGCCTTATTCGGTGAATCAGTTGCCTAACTAAAAAGAAAATAGTTTTTTTTGTTTCCCTTTGCCTCCCCATAATTTTAGTAATTTACATCTTAATATCAGTTGTTGATAAGAATTTTTCTTGTCAACTACTTTGTTTTATTTTGCCAACAATTATATACTTCTGAAGAAGTGTCGGTCAAAAGGTGCTTTAAATTTAAAGCACATGATACTTATGTATCTTATTTTAATAATAAATTATGACCCCTTTCTTTAGGATTATTTTATCGTGGTATGGCAACAACAACCTTTTATATATATATATCATCATCATCATCATCATCCCCTTGAATTTTGTAGTCATACAGGGGATCCAAATGCAGAAGCCACACTGAATCTCCTCCACAACAGTCTATCAATGGCAGCCATCAGCAATTCTGGTATAATCATACCTGTCCATTGTTTGACATTGTCCAATCAGTTTTTGAATTGCATCTGTGTGTGTGCGAAATGAGAAAATATTCTTGATCCCCCAAATGAACAGAAACTGGTCAGTTCAAGGAAAAAAGCAATAGCGCTTACCTTAAGTTGCGAAATAGATTGTAATATGTTGCAGCAGAAAAAAAGCAGTCTGATAACTTGGTAACATGGAAGGTAATTTTTAAAAAAGAGAGACAGATTTCCTTTCCTTTTATACAACTTCAGGGGTCACATGATAACCCTGTCATGTGACTACTGTAACTATAAAAAAGTTAGTAAAGAAAATAACAAGCTTTTTGTTTAGTAAGGATTTTAACAACACAAAGGTAAGTACACTGCCCCTTTCCCACCTGACCAACAGTCAATTTCTCAACTATATATATATATATATATAAAAACAGATTTCTCGTACTGCCAAATCTAATCAAACATTTGAGGAATAAAAAATATGGGATCATATTAAACATAAGATACAATAATATCCGCGTTTAAAACATAAAATGTAAGGCGCCTTTTGACCGACACATTTTCAAACACAATCGTCGGTAATCTAAAACAGAGTACTAACAAGAAAAATTTTTTTATTAATACCGTAATAAAACAAGATGGTAAGTGGGAAGAAAAAAAAAAAAAAAAAATTATTTTACCTCAAATCATGTAACCGTTCTCCCAAATAAGGCCAACTTAAACTTCATCTCCCGTTGTACGCAGAGGGCCGGCCTACGTATGTTGATAATAACAGACTCCATATATATTAAAGAAAAAAATAGAACCATTGGCAGAACCAGTGCACAACTTGCCAAAAAAAACCTAAATGGCCTTAAACAAAATAAAATTTCGAACAAAGACAGCAATAAAGAAAAAGAAAAAATTAGCTTGGAATTTAAACTCACCTGTTCAATATAAGTTAACAGTGCATCTTTGTTGTTGAACCATTCTAAAGCAATTTGTGAAGCGACGGGATATTTACAACAAGTCAGTTCTAAAGTGATTTCAAAACAATTTCCTTTCAGGTAATTGTAATCCTGCATGCCGCCTACAAAAGAGAAAACAATTACAATATTAAATCTTTTAAACACAAATAGATATTCTTATTGCATTTTAAACATAACTACATAAAACCTTAACAAATTAAAGGAAACGTCATTTGTGCAACATGCTAAAGACTTAATTTAACCCCAGACCTCAAGAACTCATATACATGATCTATTGCCAAAGATGTTGGAAAAAAAATGGTCAGCTCCTTATACTGCACCAAGAAGTACTCAATACCACCTGCCGCATTCTATCTTCACAAGAATCTGCAATGTTATTGTTCCTGAGCTGGCATCCCAGCTTCAGTTACTTTCCTACCACCATAATGTAGCTTACCCTGCACCTTTTCTATAAATACTTTCATAGTAATTTTTCTGATAAACTATTGCCAAAGATGTTGGAAAAAAAAACGTGTATTGCTTAATATATTGTAATGTAATTGTCATCTTTGATAATGGCTTATGTAAGCCAAAAGCTTAGATAGGATTAAAAAAATATGTATCAATATTGTGATTTTCTTTCTTCATTTAATGATAATGTTATTAAGCTTATCAGACAATATGAAAAGGATTTACATAAAATAAATAGACAACACTTTTCTATATTATTTAATGAAACATCTCTCTCTCTCTCTCTCTATATATATATATATATATATATATATGATGTATCAAAATAACTTTTACAAACATTGGGTTCAGGTTCCTTACACCAAACCAAGGACAAAAGTCCATATAAACATATGTTTGCAAATCCTTTATTTTCAAAGAAAGTTTATGGTAGATGGCACTGTGTTGACATGTTGACTAGTGTACATTTGTGACTAGTCTGTCTTCACTGTTTAATGTGTGTAGTAGTAAGTTAACTGAGAAGTTCTCTGTTTAACAGTGGCAGGATATTCACATCGTGAGCAGGCAGATATGATTTTTACATAAGATAATGGATGAAAGGATGCACAGCTGTAATCAGATTTTGTTTCCAGACTGAAGGCAGCCAAGACATCCAACCTTTGCTGCTGTTTATCATTGTATTGCTGAGACAGGATCTATGTATATATAGCATTGATTATACTCATGTCTTGATTTTCATTTTATAAACTTATGTAGAAGCCACACATCAAAGTGATTAACATAACCAAGTTGAAGCAAATGATTTTCAGTAATTGATCTATATATTTTGAGTCAGTTGGCTATCTTCTAAAACATATAACATTGATTATTCTTATGTTTGAATCTGTTTTATTATGTGGAAGCCACACATCAAAGTGACTAACATAAGCATACTAGTGCAAATGATTTTCATTTATTTTTGGCTATTTTATAGTTGAATCTGTTTTTATTCATATTTTATAAACTTATGTGGAAGCCACACATCAAAGTGATTAACATCAAAGTAAATGATTTTCAGTAATTGATCTATATATTTTGAATCAGTTGGCTATCTTCTAAAACATATAACTATTCTTATGTTTGCTGTTTTATAAATGATTTTCATACTAGTGCAAATGATTTTCATTGCCTGATTTGGATATTTTCAGTTAGTTGGCTATCTTCTGAATCATATAGCATTGATTATACTCATGTCTTGATTTTCATTTTATAAACTTATGTAGAAGCCACACATCAAAGTGATTAACATAACCAAGTTGAAGTAAATGATTTTCAGTAATTGATCTATATATTTTGAATCAGTTGGCTATCTTCTAAAACATATAACATTGATTATTCTTATGTTTGAATCTGTTTTTATAAACTTATGTGGAAGCCACACATCAAAGTGACTAACATAAGCATACTAGTGCAAATGATTTTCATTGCCTGATTTGGATATTTTCAGTTAGTTGGCTATCTTCTGAATCATATAGCATTGATTATACTCATGTCTTGATTTTCATTTTATAAACTTATGTAGAAGCCACACATCAAAGTGATTAACATAACCAAGTTGAAGTAAATGATTTTCAGTGCTTGATTTGGATATTTTGAATCAGTTGGCTATCTTTTGCTATTATCTTGATTATTCTTGTCTTGATCTTGTTGTCTCTCATGTTATCTAATATTGATTATTCTTGTCTTGATCTTGTATGCCTGTCTCTCATGTTATCTAATAATTAACATCTTGTATGCTGCCTGTCTCTCATAACTAATATTGATTATTCTTGTCTTGATCTTGTATTGTCTCTTTAATAAATTCTTGTCTTGATCTTGTATGCTGCCTGTCTCTCATGTTATCTAATATTGATTATTCTTGTCTTGATCTTGTATGCTGCCTGTCTCTCATGTTATCTAATATTGATTATTCTTGTCTTGATCTTGTATGCTGCCTGTCTCTCATGTTATCTAATATTGATTATTCTTGTCTTGATCTTGTATGCTAGTCTCATGATTTGATTATTCTTGTCTTGATTTGTAGTTCTCATATTATCTAATATTGATTAATCTTTGATCTTGTTATGTTATCTAATATTGATTATTCTTGTCTTGATCTTGTATAGCCTCATGTTATCTAATGATTCTATACTCTTGTATGCTGCTGTCTCTCATGTTATCTTTGATTATTCTTGTCTTGATTTGTATAAATATTGATTATTCTTGTCTTGATCTTGTGCTGCCTGTCTCTCATGTTATCTAATACATTCTTGTCTTGATCTTGTTCTCTCATTTATCTAATATTGATTATTCTTGTCTTGATCTTGTATGCCTGTCTCTCATGTTATCTAATATTGATTATTCTTGTCTTGATCTTGTTATGTCTTGCCTTTTCATGTTATCTAATATTGTATGCTGCCTGTCTCTCATGTTATCCTATTGATTATTCTTGTCTTGATCTTGTTTGTCTCTCATGTTATCTAATCTTGATTATTCTTGTCTTGATCTTGTATGCTGCCTGTCTCTCATGTTATCTAATCTTGATTATTCTTGTCTTGATCTTGTATGCTGCCTGTCTCTCATGTTATCTAATCTTGATTATTCTTGTCTTGATGTTTGTCTCTCATGTTATCTAATCTGTTTTCTTGTCTTGATCTTGTAACTGCCTGTCTCTCATGTTATCTAATCTTGATTATTTTCTTGTATGCAAAATTTGATTATTCTTGTCTTGACTTGTATGCTGCCTGTCTCTCATAAATATTGATTATTCTTGTCTTGATCTTGTATGCTGCCTGTCTCTCATGTTAAATGATTTTCATTGCTCTCATGTTATCTAATATTGATTTTGTCTTGATCTTGTATTTTCTCTCAGTTATCTAATATTGATTATTCTTGTCTTGATCTTGTATAGCCTGTCTCTCATGTTATCTAATATTGATTATTCATGTTTGATTTTTCATTGTCTCTCATGTTATCTAATATTGATTATTCTTGTCTTGATCTTGTACATCTAATATTGATTATTCTTGTCTTGAATGCTTCCTGATTAATATAATTCTTGTCTTGATCTTGTAGTTGAAGTTAAATATTGATTTTCTTGTCTTGTGTATGCTGCCTGTCTCTCATGTTATCTTGATTTGATATTTTCTAATATTGAATTCTTGTCTTGATCTTGTTGCTGCCTATCTTTTGCTTGTCTTGATAATGTTATCTAATATTGATTATTCTTGTCTTGATCTTGTATGCTGCCTGTCTCTCATGTTATCTAATATTGATTATTCTTGTCTTGATCTTGTATGCTGCCTGTCTCTCATGTTATCTAATATTGATTATTCTCATGTTTTAAATTTACTCAGTGTCTATTCAACTGAGGAATAACATTCAGCAAAAGATATCCATCAAAAAACTTTTCATGCTACTTTTGACACATTCAGTCATTCACATTGCCTTCTCCATAAACTGCACAAATCTATTTTTGTAATCAAATAACACTTCAGTAGTAATGTTTGTGGCTTAAAAATTACCCTTTGGCCAGATTGTTTCCCCAAGAGTAAAAAAACAAACAATTTCTAGCAGTAAACCAGATTTTATTCTTGGGTTGTAACCTACTGCTATAAGTAAGCAAAGCAAAAAGATTAGTGAAGAAATTGTTTAATTACATGGATTAATAATACAATAATAGTGAATATCAAAGTTAGTGTGACAATGTATGTGACACACTTTGTGATGACTTTGCCCTATGACTGTGGTTCCCAAACATTTTTTTTCTTCTCTGAGCTACATTTTCAGAATGAAAAATTGCTCACACCTCACCAACTTTTATGTGATAAAAAGAATATTTAAAAATAAATCCCAACATTAAATATAATATATAACACAAATAACTTCTAATATGATTAAAGTACATAAATTTAATGAAATGTATGAGCTTGTTTTTGACAATGAAACGAAGACACATGCTCAGAGGAAGGGAAGTCCTGGTGAAAAAGAAAAAGCATTCCTATGGTAAAGCTCCACAGAATGGAGATAACTGCAGATTCAAAGTCAGAATATTATCATTGATAACTCTCTCCTCCAATTTGTGGACCCTAGTTACTATATTCTTAATACTTGATATAATGCAAAAATATCACAATGATAAAATTTATTTATATTGGGTCTCATGCATGCAATTGCAAGTAATTCATAATAATATCTTAAATTTTGAATTCATTTTTATTTTTGGCATATGAATTTTTTGAAACTGTTTCTAAAACTTTGAATCATTCTGTCTCACCTGCTATCCTCTTTCACTGAAACATTTAAAACCACTGCTCTTTGAGTGAACTGGTGTTCAACAATTTAGCATAGCAAGATTGGTTGTCTTTCTACATATTATATATATATATATATGTATATATTAAAAAGAAGAGAGAAAGCGCAAACGTTTTTGGTTGTAATGTGGATTTTTTTTTTAAATATATATTATGTTTTATTCTCCATATGGAAAATAAAGCATAATATATATTTTTTAAAAAAAATCCACATTACAACCAAAAAACATTTGCAGTTCTCTCTTCTTTTTAATCTATACACTTTTCTCTTGTTGGAACAACTATAACTTTTTTTTTCTCTCTCTATTATATATATATAT